TGGAGGTACTTGTCTCCCCAAATTCTGACTCCTGAAAAGAAAAGGCTTTCTTACAGCTTTGTTTTCACATACGTGCATCAGTTCCACGTCTCCCTGCTTTAACAGTTGGCTCCCCAGTTACACAGCTTTTACTTGTGGGTCTTTGGGAATACCCTGTGGTCCCCGGAGGATGGTGGTAGGCAGGTTTGTGACCTGATAAATTCTGACATTAAGCACTCAACATTTTGTGTATATTATAGATTGATATTTTCTCGAGTTTTTTCTTTTTCATGAAACAGAAATTTTGTTTTGCTTGTACGGTAATTTGTGATCTGTGCCCATATCAGTGCCTACCACATAGAAAGGGTAAAAATAATCATTTATTGATGTTAGGGGAAAGAGAGCTATAAAGGAAGAGTACAAAGAAGTCTTGTGATGGTTCAGTGTCTTTGTTATGGTGGTTAAACATATCAGCGCATAACAAAATGGGTAACAAGATGAGCAAGTATAAAACAGGTGAAATCCAAAGCTCTTGCAGATTCAACTGTTTCCTGATTGTAATACTGTACAGTTAATATGAAAGATATTACCACTATGGAAAAAAAGGTGATGGCTATATAAGAAATCAAAAAGAAAATAATAAGGTAGAAACACAATGTGACTGAGCAACACCACGTGCAGGTATTTATTGAAAGAATATGAAAACACTAATATTAAAGATATTTGTACTCCTATGTTGATAGCAGTATTGCAGTAGCTAAAACATGAAATCAATATAAATGCTCACTGACAGACGACTAGCTAAAGAAACTACCATATATACACTCAAATGAATATTACCATACCCTTAAAACAGATTAAATTATGCTTTGGGGACAAAATGGATGGAACTTGAAGTGATAATTCTAACTCAAATAAGGAAGAAAGTAAAGACAATACTGGGTGAGTTGTGGAATATAAGTACGTGAAGCAAAAAAAAAAAAGGCAAAAAAACAAGAATAATTTCCTAACTTAGTGAAAACTATGATGGTTTTCAAATAGAAGGAGGAAGCGGCTGAGAAAGATGGAAAGAATGGTGATTTTGGAGACAGAATTGCTCTGGAACCTTAATGGTAGATACTGTGATTGTGATGCACATATAGAGAAGCAAAGTTATACTGTTTAAATTCTGTTGTATCATTAGCCAATGATAAATCTGTAAAATATAAACATTTAATTTTTAAAAATCCATTCTAAATTTTTCATGCAACATCCCAGGACCCGAAACAGCCAATATAATCTTGAAAGCAAAAAGCAAATCAGGAGGTTGCATTCTTATTTTGAAGCTTACTAAAAAGCCCTGTAATCAAAACAGGGTTATGCTCACAAAAAGAACACATATAATTGCAAATGACAACACCCAGAAGTAGAGAGAAAGAGAGAGAGAGAGAGAGAGAGAGAGAGAGAGAGAGAGAGCCTGTCCCTGTGACAGGAGGGGGTGGCAGAAGGGATATGGGGGATATTGTGGTCGAAAATGTACACTGGTAGAGGGATGGATGTTGTAACATTGTATGACTGAAACTCACTCATTAAAGCTTTGTAACTATCTCACAGTGACACAATGATTCAATAATTAATTTTAAAAGACACACATGTATACCAATGGCATAGCACAAAGAACTCAGAAGTAAACTTTTGCCTACATGACCTAAGGAAATGTGCCAAGATCATTCAATAAGGACAACCATTTCAGTAAACATACTGGAAAAATGATATCAAAATGCAAAAGAATAAAGTTAGATTATTAGATCTTAATATAAGCATGACAAGTATAAAGCTCTTTGAAAAAATAAGATAATGTTTCATGATATTGAATTTGCCAGTGATTTTCTGGCAACACGAAAAACACAAACATTGAAAGAAAAAGTAGATAAATTAGATATCTTCAAAATTGAAGGCTTTTGTGCATCAAAGATAATAGTAGAGCAACAGGCAACCCATAAAAAAAGAGAAAATATTTGAAAATCAGAGATAACCTATTAATCTCCAGAACATGCATAGAACTATATAGCTCAACCACAAAAACAAACTTTTGAATAAACATTTCTTAAATGTAAAAAGACCATTATATACAAAATGTTTAACAAGTAGAGAACTAAAAATCAAAAGCACAATAAGCTACCACTTCACATCTATTGAGATAGTTATTATTAGAGTAGGGTATATAAAAATGAAGATATGGAGAAATAAGAATCTTATGCACTAGTATTGGTAGAAAAGTACAATGGTACTGCTATTGTGGAAAATGGTATGGTGGTTCCTAAAAAAATTAAGACACAGAAGGCACTTACCTTGCACGCAGTCGACCCAAGTTCGATCCCTGGCCTACCATATGATCCCCTGAGCCTACTGCACCCCTGAGTGCACTGCCAGGAGTAGACTGTAAGCCCACGATATATGGTCCTCCCAAAAATTAGGCACAGGAAATATGATCCAGCAATTCTACTTTTAGGTACTCAAAAGAATTGGAAGCAGGACATGTATACTAATTTTAAAAACAGCATTATTCATAATAGCAGATATGGTGGAAACAACACAAATAACCAACTGATGGATAAAGAAAATGTGCATATATATATAGGATACAGTATTATTCAGCCTTATCAATGAATGGAATTACATGCTACAATACAGATGAGCCTTAAAAACTTCATCCTAGGTAAAATAATCTAGGTACAGAAGGATAAATACTGAATGACTCCACTTATACCACACGATGCAGCAGTCAAATTCACATAAACAGAAAGTAGATGCTGGCCACCAGGGATTGGGAGAAAGGGGTGTTCAGTTAGATATTCTGCTTGGAAGATGAAAAGTTTCTGGAGATGGATCGTGGTAATAGTTAGACAACAATATTATGTAACTAGTGACACTGAAATTGACACTCAAATTCTCATACCTATTTCATCAGAATAAGAAAAAGAACTACTACTTTCATTTTCGCACTTTCCCAACCACCCTATCTCTTTGTGGAAAAAGTGTCACACTGGCTTAAATTCCTCCACTAGCTTCTAAGTTCACTCTCTCATCACTTGGTCAGACCAACGAGCAAGATTGACAAGTCTTTGCTGTACTCAGCAAGAGCAGAAGGGGCTGTGACCAACTCTTGGTATAGTTACTGACATAAGAATGCTACTCTGACTGCTGGATACATGTTTTTAAAAATTCAGGAACTTGCAGATATATCCTACATAGATACATATGAGTCATGATCACGATCATCCTGTTGTTCGTCAATTGCCCCGAGCAGGCACCAGTAACGTCTCCTTCGTCCTAGCCCTGAGATTTTAAAAAGTGCCATATTCAAGGCTCTTTCAGGGTTAGGAAAATGAGATTTATCATTGCTACTGGTATTTGGCATATTGGGTACGCCACGGGGAGATTGCCAAACTCTGCTGTGTGGGCAGGTTATATTCGGTAGCTTGTCAGGTTGTCCAAAGTAAGAATGAGGTAGTAAGATGTTGTGCAGCCACAAATGCGGCCACACGCTTCCGGGAGCTGGGTTTTATAGTCTCTGGGTCTTGGCCGTTGATGGGATTACACGGTGCAGGGGGCCAGTTTGTGGGTGTGACCCCAGTCTACTGGAAGATGGAGGATCTGGGTGGAGGATGCTCAGCCCCGATCCAAGCAGGCTTGGAGATCTCAGCCCCCGGACCTGCATGCCTTTGTTCCTCTGCCGGTACCTTCATGCGTGTGGAGAGTGGTCTCAGCATGGTTGTGGTTGGTTCTGGAGGGCTTCAGCTGCTGGAGTTCTGCTCAGGGTTGGGAGGGAAACTCAACCCGCCCCCCTCCAAGGGGCCCCGGCGAGAACAGCCAGGCACAGGGGCAGGAGACTCTGTCTACATAGGAGTATCCATACATATAATAATCATAGTGGATTGAAATATATTATGCTTAAAACCTACATTAGGCTTAAGTTCACAATAATTTAAAAATCTTTAGTCACTATGTTTTTAAGAATCTAGGGATTCATTAGTTTGGAAATGTATAAATAAATTTAACACTTAAAAAAGTGCTATTTTGATTACATTCTTCTCCTTCCATGGTTCTTTGAACATCTGATGAAAGCTAGAGCTACTTTCTAGAAAAGATGTCAATTTAAACAAGATTCCTGCACATGGATATTTAGCTTGGGAACTATATGCAGTGGTGCTCAGGGATCACTCGTGGCAGGGCTCAGGGGTGCCAAGGATCAAACCCTGGACAGCTGCATGCAAGGCAAATGCCTACCTGCTATACTATCTTTCTGGCTCCTCCTGCTTATAATTTTAAAGGTTAACCACCCCCTTGTAGATCCCTAGAAGTCCAAAGACTCTATAAATGAAGTGATCTTGAAAGGATGAGTGTGCTTTCACTCAAATAATATGTGTTGGCTAAGGGCCTGCTGCATTTGCATTTTACAAAAACCATCCTTGTTAGAGGTATTTCCTCAGATACAGTCTGGCCCTGCCAACTCTGAGAAAAACTTTAACAGCCTCCATGAACACAGCAACAGGAAGCGAGCAAGCAATCACTATACATACTTCAGCTTATTTTTTGGTCAGCCATCCTGGTTTTAACCTGCAAAAAATGAAGCCAAAGACAGGATACTTGATTACTTGGATAAAATCAGCAAGAAAATAAACAACTAAATGACCTGCTGGACTGCAGGCTGGGGGCTTTATTTAGAGGTTCAATAGTTTACTACCTCACTCCGAGCTCATTTAGGCTATGGGATCTTTCCTATGGTTAATGCGAGAAGCCCAGGACATTCCTGACTGGCTCTCCAATACCATGAGTGATTGCTGGCAGAATGCTCAAAGACCACAATGACACTTGCCATCTGCCTCAGGCACAAATGGGAAAAAACTTCAGAGAAGACCACAGGGAATGGTCTGAGGGCCTCAAATGAGAGACCAGTACCTTGTGTGCCACGGTGCCCAACACAGTGGCTTCCCCTTTCCTTGACCAACCTTACAAGTGCCTCTTTTGTCTGTTTCCAGTGCAGTGGACCATGTATTGGGCCTCACCTCGCTGTGCAACACAGACAAGTCTTCTGCCAGACGCGAGATGGCATCACCTTACCCTCAGAGCAGTGCAGTGCCCTTCCAAGGTAAGAAAAAGTCATGGAGCACCTGTGCCCAGATTCTGCTGTCCCCAGCTGAGTGCTCAGAGCACAGAGATGACAGGAAGTCCAAGTTTCTCCTCTAACTTCCCACAGGCCCTGCAGTCAAATGAAGAGCCTGTCATTTCCCATCATGCTCCCTGGGTTGCTGGCCTCCCCAGAGGATGGCTCAGTGGCCTTGTGCCTGCTTGATGGGCCAAGCTGGGCTTAGCTATCTTGGGTATGAAGATTATAAGGGATGCTATTCTCTCTGGGAGGAACACAGCGGATACCCCAAGACACCAGGCACCAAGCACTGACAGACATACAGTAGCCACAAAACCTCACAGACTCCACCAGCCCTGAATTCTTGCTAATCTTCCTCAAAGAATGGTGCTGGGTCAAGGACTCCTGTCCCTAGATATCAGCCTCCCTTTCCCAGCCAGTACCCAGCACTCTGGGTATATCTCCTTGTCCATCCAAAAAACCCTGCACCTCTGATCCATGCCCAGAAGTAGGACTCACAGCTGTGACTTAGAGCACCAAGCCCTGAGTCCAGACACAGGCTCTGCCCCTACCGGCCCCATTCTCTGGCCATGAAGGTGCCAGTCCAATGGACAACAGAACAAGGCCCCGAGAGAGACGGAGGCAGCATTCTGAGGTCTTCAAGCCACTCACTCACAGAACAGAGTGCAGATATGGGGGGACCAGAGCTCTGGGAGTTCCTGAGGAGTCCCCAGACCTCTCAGGCTTGTGTCTTCTCACCTTTCCTCTCTGATCCAACCCCTCCAGCAGAGGCAGCCCTAACTCTGCCCCCAACCTTTCCCACAGGCCTGTGAGCACCCAGAATTGCTGGTCAGAGGCCTGCAGCGTACACTGGAGAGTGAGTCTGTGGACCCTGTGCACGGCCACTTGCGGCAACTATGGCTTCCAGTCCCGGCGCGTGGAGTGCGTGCACGCCCACACCAACAAGGCGGTGCCCGAGCACCTGTGCTCCTGGGGGCCCCGGCCCGCCAACTGGCAACGCTGCAACATCACCCCGTGTGAAAACAGTACGTCCCAACCCCAAAGAACCTTCTGCAGATTCCCTGCCAGGCACCGGGTGCACAGGGCTGTCCCTGTCTCCCAGCCTGGGCTCAGGGTGCCGCATGGGGTTCCCCAAGGAGTGTGAGCTTGGACCATTGGTGGGTATATCCTGAGGGGGGTGTGGGAATATGCACGAGTGCCAGGAAGTGTGGACACATGCCCAGTCCACAAAAGATGGCTGATGTGTGCCCCCCCGGGCTCCCACAGTCTCCATCTAGGTCCTGAGAGCACCAGGTGCAGATGGCCAAGTGCTGGGTGAAGTCAGCCAGCCAAGCTCCAGCAGTCAGTTTGGTGGGTGACCCCAGGAGACAACTAAACAATGGCTCTTGGGGACTGAGCTACTGAAGAGAAAACACTGTCCACACTGAAGAAGCACCCAGAGTGCCACCACTACACCCCACCCCCCAGTCCTCTGCTTCTCTCAGGACCTGCTTACCAGCGCCCCTCCTTCCCAGCCAGCTGAAACTGCAGCAGCTCAAGCCCTTCCAGTTTGAGACTCATTTCTGAGTCTGGATTCTCCTCTGTCAATGCCAGTTTTTCTATACCAGTTTCAGGGTGGGGGGGGGGGGGCAGTAAGAGATCTCTTTGTTCTTCCACTGAGCCCCAAACAAATTTGGAGATGCTTCTCCACAGGGAAGACAAAGCATGAGAAAGAGAAACAGAGAAATCTAAAACAGTTGCAGTTCAGGGCCTCACTGAGATACAAGGCTAACATGCCTTACAGGTATGAGACTCTGGGTGCTTCCCACACCCCAGGCCAAGGAGAAGGAGCATGGCCACCCATTGAGTTGCTTTCCTATGCTTGCTCTATACTGGTAGGGGCAGGGGGATCAAGGTCCTTGAAGGTGCTCACTCGTTCCTGTGTACCTAGTCCAATTAAAGTTGTGCAGACTCATTCTGGTCAACAGAGATGACCAATATTTGAGAACCTAATTTGTTTCCAAACTGAGCTAGAATGCAACAGAGCTTAGATCAAGCATGGTGCTCGCAGTTAAGTGGAGGATATAAAAAAGCAAAGCCTCAAAAGAGAAAGAAGACTCAAATTTGGAGGGGATGAAGACCAGGAATGCATGCTACCTCGAAGGGGAACAGAATTTAGTCCTGGAAACCATATCGGGGAGAGTGGTTCATTGAAAGACTATGGGAAAGGGCAGGCTTGCCCAGGAGGTGAGGCAGCTCCAAGCAGAGAGAGAGACAGAGACAGAGAGACAGAGACAGAGAGAGAGAGAGAGAGAGAGAGAGAGAGAGAAACCCCATCAAGAAATGAACCATCATACAGTTTGTAAAAGTTTGGATGGAAGGGTGCAGTGGAACAAAGAAACATTGGCTGAAAGAATTTAGCCAGATGGAAAAAGAGAAGCATGAGATGACTCATTCATCTGTGGCATATAGGGAAGCAAAACAAGGGACTAGATGGTATCAATTGATGATAAACTCTGGGGGCTGGAATACGAACTGAGATCTCCTATTGGGGGAAAGTAGAGGGGCCAGATATGGCACAGGTGAATGGCTGTGGGTCATGGGTATTCTTGGTGGTGCTGAGATGAGGTAACTGTGTACCTCAAGACCTTAAGCATCAACACCACTATAAACACATTGCCTGAACTATAATAGCATTGTAGCACTATCCTCCCATTGTTCATTGATATGCTCAAGTGGGCACCAGTAATGTCTCCATTGTGAGACTTGTTGTTACTGTTTTTTGGCATATCGAATACACCACAGGGAGCTTGCCAGGCTCTGCCATGCAGGCGGGATACTCTCGGTAGCTTGCCAGTCTCTCCAGCAGGGCCAGAGGAATTGAACCCAGGTTGGCCGCATGCAAGGCAAAGACCCTACCTGCTGTGCTATCGCTCCAGCCCTTAACTATTATAATAATTTAAAAAGAAAAAGAAAACAGAAAGAATGATCAAACAGGCAGCCAAGTGGGGCTCAGGACCTGGGGTCGTGAAGACGGTGGGGATCTTGGGGGACAAGTGGCTGAGGTCTGCCTGACTAAAGCCAGCAGAGGCCCTTTCAGAAGAGAGGAGGTGCCCCCCTGCAGGTTCAGTGGCCACAGCCCCTGTTTCACCTCTCCTTTCTGTCCCCTTTCCCCACCCCATCTCCTCCTTTCCCAGTGGAGTGCAGAGACACCACCAGGTACTGCGAGAAGGTGAAACAGCTGAAACTCTGCCAACTCAGCCAGTTCAAATCTCGCTGCTGTGGAACTTGTGGCAAAGCGTGAAGACAGGGCCCGGGGAGGAGTGCTCCCCGGCCATGCGGAGGACTCACGCAACAGCCTTGGACAGAACTTAAGCTTTCTTTGTTTTATTTATTTATTTCCCCCTCTCTCCCCCACTACACAAACCCTCACCCTGTCTTTCCCTCCCCACCCCTAGCCTGGAGCGTGTCTTCTCCTTCAGGGAGCTGGAGGGCAGAATGTTGGGAAGGAGGAGGATGGAGGGATGAGAGGGGGCGTACAGCACTCTGGGCTGGCACCCTCCAAAATCCGGGTCCCCAGGAGACCTAGGAAGAAGAGGCAGGCATAGCCTAGCAGGGAGAGGACAGCAGGATGACAGCCACAACAGTAGAGGGAAGATGGGAGGACGGAAGATGGGAAAGGGTTTGGGTGTGGGCTTTGGACAACCCCTGCGTCTTAGCTGGCAGCACAGTTGAGGCCAGAGTGGGCCGCTCCTGCGTGTTCCCTGGTCCAGACCGCACTTGTGGGGGGACCAGGCAAAAGTGCGCCTCACTGAGGCAGAACTCACTGGGACCTTCTGTGAGAAAGCACAGAGGAGAAGTCAGAACAAGATAGTTGGGGTAAAGGAGTAGACGAGGTTTAAATCAAGACCTACAGCACAGTACGATGCAGAAAATGAAACAGGGCAAAGGGACAGAAGTTAAGCAGCAAGGTGTGTGCACCTCAGCGGGGAATGGTGGGGGGGCAGTCGGCACCTGAGGCTCACCAGCAAGGCTTGGATGCACCTCCAGGCATCCCTACAGCCCTCAAAAGGGCAGGGCCAGATGTTCCCAGAGCCTTGCTTTCTTCACAAAGGGCACAGCCTGGTCACTGCATGGGGTGGGGAGTGCATGGCCTCTATGGGTGAAGGGAATCCCCTCCCACCCTTTCCCAGTCAACTTTCTACCTTTACACCTGCAGTTCAGCCAATGAGACACCAAAGTCTGGCTATACAGTCCAGCCACCCCTTGCACCTCCATCTAAATCAAGAGTCCCCCAGCCCTGAAGGAACTGCTGATGTGGCAGAGAGGGCCTGTAGGCCCGGGGCTTCCGCCTCCATGTGTGTCCTTTGCAGCTCCACTCAATGCACCAAGGATGGGGACAGTATGTCAAAAGCCAGTTCGTTCATCAGATGCCAAGAGAATGTGTGTCAGATCACAGCAACCACTTCATTCCAAAGCTGGCCAGGCCACAGGGTGGGGACAGGGACTGTGCAGGCCCCTCCTGGTAAGCAGGGAACATCGCCTTCCTAGCAAACAGATGTGGATGCAGAGCAAAGAACAAGGTGGCAAAACCAAAGGAGAACCGCAGCTTCCAAGATGGTCCTTGAAGCCTTTCTAAGCCATTTCTACGTACATTGGCAGCGTGTGGTCATAGGAATCAATCAACATCCATTAGAGCAATGTGCTAATTGAGTAAAGCAGAGCATATGCACATGCGTACACACACACACACACACACACACACACACACACACACACACCAGTAATGCTTGCCAACTGAATTAAATGACTATAGCAAAGACTTGTGGCAAAGTGGAAAGTTTGAGAATATCTGGCAAGTTGCTCATTAAGCAGTGCTGCTCAGGGTGAAGGATTTTGGCTGCTTCCCCAAGTGGCACTGTAACCAGGACAGACACACTCAACCCTTGGTTAACTGCCGCCTTCACACATGCTCTCTAAAGGCCACTAGCCCCAGGGCCACCACTGACATCAGGGCTGCAGTTTTTTAGCTAGTCCAGAAGTAAAATTGGGGGTGGGGAGAAAGGCAATATTAACCTGAGTCCTCCCTTGGTAATCTATGGACAACTAAGCGCGGGAGCCTCACTCCCCCTTACCACAAAAATGCGCCCTAAGAAATCATGTTACTAAAAGTCAGCGTCATGTTTATTTAAAATAAAGAGATATTTTCTATGTCTGTATAGCTTTTGTGAATATTTATTAGGATTTCTTGTATGAAAACGTGCAATATTAATCATTGTACATTTGTCATCCAGAAAACAAAATACTGGGGGGACTTTTGATTAACTTACTGTAGTTGTGTTTCTGCGGAACTCTGTGGTGATCATTGTATTGTTCCTATTTTTGATAGAAGTTGGTGTTAAACTTTGGACGCATTCACCTTGTCTAGATAGCTTTGTCAAAGCTAAAGTGGAGGTTTATTTGTGACACCATAGTTATGACTGGAATGAAGACAACCGATTCCATACTGCTACTAATGTGGTTGACTATTTCTAGCGCAACAGCTTTTGAAAATCAGTGGCCATTATTTGCATTTTCTGACTAACAGGGGTTCCTCCAGCTCCACTCTGCACCAGGATATCATGGATGGAAATGAGGTTCAGGGTGAGCTGGAGGACTAGGTTGGGGTGGGAAGCAGCATGCTCCTTGCATGAGATGAATGTACATTTACTGTTTGTTCTGTGAATTGTGACTCAGCAGCACCATGAGATTATTAGGGCTGCTGAATAATGTGGAAGGAGGCACTTTCTCCTCTAAAACACAAAACTGTATTTATATTTTTTGTACATATAATACAGCTTATTTATTTAAATCTTGTCGTCCGAGTCTCTATTAAGCTCAGCATGCCAAGACTGTTTGATTCAGCATATGAGGGTGATTTCCAGCCACCAATGTGTGTTTGACTAAAGTGGAAGAATGGTATTTTTCAACTTGACCTGTGAAACCTGGTCTATACATGAGCCAGAGGAGCCACGTCCATAGATACACAGTCTTAGTTATGCCTTGACCGTGACAAGTAATATCACCCCCATGCCCTGGTAAGGCAGAGCCGTAGGCAGCAAATCAAGCAACACACTCCCACCCCCTAGAACCCTCCGGGGTAGATGCAGACAGGTGACAAGAGAGCCTCATTGCAGGCTCAGGCTTCTTGCCAACAAGGACAAGCACAACCTGAAGCAGGTGTGTGCAGGAATTTGGGATGGATGCTCCTATAAGGGGCTGACAATGCTGACTACTACAGTTAATCTTCCAATCGGTCTCTATGTTTATTCTCATTTATGTATGGGGAGATAGACCAGAGAAACCACAGATCACCTGGATGCTGAAATGAGGATTCAAAGTAAGCTGCCCATATTTTCAATCCATGTTTTACCTTTATCCACATCACCGTCTACAGATTCTCTAATTGGAAGCAAGGATGCGTGACCACCTGGGCAAATGCACTCATTCTTCCCTTATGCTTAGAGTTTGGTAGAAGGTGGTAATGGGATGGTTTACTTTTCTCATCCCCTAAAATCAATTCTTATGGCATCGTTGGTTTCTTGGAGTTCTACTTTTTTTTAATGTCGGAGTACTGCTATTTATTCAGGCACTGATTAGCTGATTGAATTGGGCATGAACTCCACCTTACTTTTTTTCCATAATTTTATTTATTTCTTGTTTTTCTTCTTATATTTATTGAATCACTGTGGGAAAAGTTACTAAGCTTTCAGGTTTAAGTCTCGGTCATACAATGATCAAACACCTCTCCCTTTACCAGGACTCATTTTTCACCACCAAGAACCCCAATATACCCCCCTCCCACCCCTCCCAATGCCTGTGAGGCAGATGATTTCCACTTAACTCTTCTCTACATTGATTACATTGGATCTCTACTTTTTAAACCATTTTTATATAAAGCTACAAGAGTAAAATTCTGAGAAGTGTCTTGGGTCTTCATGCACAGGTTAAAAGGGCAACATGTCTAAACTGTAACCCCTGTAAAACACACTGCTAAGGACCCCCCAGCCTGAGAGCCACACGCCAGTCCATTTTCCAGCAGCTCCCAGCAGCCCATTACACTCTGGTAAGCAATGTAAAAATATAAAAATACACCAGAAAGCTCATCTTGACATTCCAATTACTTTTAAGGCTTAGATTCAGCTCTAAAGAAAAATTGAACGCCAGAACTATAAACACATACCAGCAACCAAACAATGTCCTATAGAGGCCCCAGTGGGTAGAGGAAGAGAATGAATAGAGATGCCAGAGCAAAAACCCAGGAAGGACTGAAATGGTGGGAAGGACTTAAATAAAACATATGGAAAAATTTTCCAGCCCAAATCACAGAGCTCAGCAGGGGGAAAAAAAAGAGAGAAAGAGAGAGGGAGAGAGAGAGAGATTCTTGAAAAATGCCACCAACCACAGCATAAAAGTCTGGAATCTTAACCACAGGCCAGTCCTGGGGTATAATACTTCATCCTTGAGTCCCCTACTTGGCCTCAGAAGTTTCCAGGACTTTGACAAGATGATCTGTGGGTCCATCAAGATCAGAACAGTCAAAAGTGACAAAAATTCTTTCATGCTTAAGCTTCTCACCTTTAAAATACAAAGAAAAAAAGATATACCAGGGCCAGAAGATAAAGTGCTTTGTCTTTCATGCAATTGACCCTGTAATCCTCCAAACCCCCAGGAGGGATCCCTGAGTATGAAACCATGAGTAAACCCTAAGCACAGCCAGGCATGGCTCAAAACAAAACAATGAAAAGATACATCTCATAAGCAAAGGGTTGTGGTGAGAAAAAAATATTGTAAAATTCAGATAGAATTTGAATTTGAAAAACTATTGGAAAATTTAGATAGAAAATTCAGATAAATTCAAAATTCAGATAGAATCCTATCACTGATTTACTTGTTATCATCATCATATACATTATTATCAAATTGATCTTGGAAATGAAAGAAAAGTCTGGCAGAAATTTTGCTCTTTTGCATTGTTTTCCAGTATCAGCTTTGGAAGATTTTCCCCTGTGCTTGCATTTTTGACTAAGAAGGACATCAGTCATTCCTTCAGAGCAAAACCAAATTCTGTTTTTGGAAGAAAACAGATCAATCCATGTATCTAACTGAAAGACTCCCCCAAATACTGACAAACTTCCAGAAATACTTCCCAAGACAGATGTTATCTTATAATCCCAATATGTAGGCTTGCCTTGATTCAAAATATCTAAATATACACATAATTGCCATTTCCTTTTTTTAATAAATAAATGCTCACTCATGATCAAATATTCAAGTAAAATGAGAGATAATATTAAGGCTGTCTCATCATTTCTCAGCATGCTATTATCCCTTCACTTCAGCCTGCAAAGCCCCCGTCCCCAAATCTAGGTTCATTAATAACCCCAGTTAAAATTTTAAAAGGTAGATCTTTGTAATATTTCTGTACAGCTCCCCAAAATAGACAAGAGCATCCATAGAGAATAAAGGACTGTCAGGGGGCTGACAGTAGAAAAAAAACACTCTTTCAAAATAAACC